TATATATATAGATTTTGGGACATTTTAAATCAATTCTGAAATTCTGAATCTTTGTAAATGAGTATCACGATTCCGATTTAAAACGATTTCTTGGTGCACCCCAACTGGTTAGATTCTCTCCTGTCTTTTTTAATTGTTATTATTTGAATTTATTTATTTATTTAGAAGGGACAGTGCACATTAATCAACATTTCTGTAAATGTGCCAGAGTTAGCCACAGGCTAATTTTCATCCGTTGTTCCTGGACTTGCTATAAACAAAGTAATCATACAAAAACAAGATAAAATAACAATAAAATACAATTAATACAAATTGCACACAAAATCACACACACATTTTATACAAAGTATGAACATTATTAAAACTAATAAACCTTCATCTAGATGGCTAAAACACAAGTGGTCACTTGGTGGGACTAGGCAAAAGCAGTTAAACAAAATGTTGACAGATCTGCTGTTAAAAACCAAGCCTTCAACTGTTTTTTAAATAGATTATATGTGGTAAGATCTCTGATTGACTGAGGGACAGAGTTCCAGTCCTGAGCAGCTGTAACTGAAAAAGTACTTTGGCTAAAAGTGCTTTTCTGGAGAGGAACAATACAGTCTTCACGGATCGCCCCTTTTGTTAAACGATAAGAGTTGTTCCTTATATTTACAAACTGAGAAAGTGGTGGAGATGACAGACCTTTAATAGACAGAGATTTGAGTATTTAATAAAAATTTCCCAAGCCAAAAACCCATGTTTATCCAAAACATTCCAGTGGTGATATCAATGTTTTTTTGTCTAATATTTTAATTGTCTGTTTGTATAGAGACTCTATGGGTTTTAATGCCATTTTATTTGCTTGTGACCATGTTGTGAAAAAGTAGGCTATATGTGACAGAACACATGCATTTAGACATTTTCTTTACTACAACCCTTAAAAGCACTAAAACCTCAACAGAGTGACTCTGAACATGAACTGATTCATGCAGATCTTTACAGTAAGCCCAGGGGTTTTACAGAGCAGCAGGAAACTTGACCACAAAAGGTGCTCAAAATCTCATTTAGATGCATGCAGCAAGGTTTGTGGTTACTGAACCTGCAGCTAAAGCTGTTGGAGGCATAACACATTAAGAAGAACTCACCTTTAAATAGTTCAACTTCAAGACCTCAGCCTCAGTTAGAAGAATAAAAAAGACAAAGATTTTAAATGATTTGTTGACAGTAAAAACGCACAATCTCAGGGAATATTTAATCAGCAGAAATACTGTATATTTACCACACATGCAAACCAAAGTAAAGGCAAAACAGGAACAGTGAATAAATGGATTTTTTAAACTTAATTTAACCAGAACAAGTTCTCATTTACAATGCTGGCCTGGTATCATTACAGAAAGCTTTTAAATGGCGTTTTAAAAGAGAAACTGTGTTTTTTTTTTTTTTGAAGCAAGTTCCAGTCATTTGTCATTTATCATGCTGACAGTTCCAGTCAGCATGATAAGTGTTGCACTGTACCGTAGTGAGATTTAGTTTTTAACAACAATAGATGCGATGACTTAATGACACGCTTTGTTACAGATGTAGAGTTAAGACTTATAAGTAAGTGACATTTGACAGTAATGCGTTATAAAATGCATTATAATTTGTGTAACAAAATTAATTGTAGAATGATAAAATCTGTCCAGCTCCTTTACAAACATGTCTAGGCAATACTGGCAAAAAAAAGAAGAATCATGATTAATTGGGGGTATTTAGCCGATAATAATTAATTTGATGATTAAGCCCCTGGAGTCCCTGGACACCCTTATGTCCTAGTCACATGACCAGTTTAGTGGGAAAGATTTGCTCTTTGCAAAAATCTGTTCCAAATTGTGTCAAATTTTAAGTTGTGTTGATAGATAAATAAATTACAGAACTTCTTTTTAATGTTTGTCATATTTGAAGGGGAGAGGAGCGCCGAGCAGACTGACTGGAGAAGTCTCCAGTCAGGCAAAAAGACGTTTTTAGACCAAATATTACAGATTTGAACAAATACACACAAAAATATCAAAATTAGCACAGAAACAGTACTATATAACATTTTAGACACATTCTAGACAGTTTATCAGCTAAAAAAAGTTAATTTTGGGGTAAGTTNCAGTTTATCAGCTAAAAAAAGTTAATTTTGGGGTAAGTTACTCTATAACCTCTGACTGCAGCACATTAATATGGTGTGCTGTTTGTCTGTGTCGATGTTTTAACTTTTAATGACATAAATCATTAATGAAGATAAAAACTAGGTTAGTACAGGAAAACGGTGTAAAGAAGCTAAAGTTTGGTAAACTTTATTATCCCAGAGGGACATTTGTTTTGTAGCCAGCAGAGAACTGAATAACTGTGCACAGTCCATCTAGGTTTGTTGTTTCTCTGTCATCATTGTTTGCACTGTTTTTCTCTTCAATGCATTTATTTAGAGCCGTGTTAACGGATTAATTTAATAAATATTGAGTGGTTTTGCTCTCCCTTTGCGCAGAACACAAATGAGAAACTTTTGCAGCTTTTTTTCTTCTGTTCCTCCAACTTTTCCTTTTTTTTCCCTGAGAAGCTGCTGTTTCTTCACTCTGGCCTTTGAGGCTTCTCCCCAGTAATGAGATGAGTCTTTCCTCTCAGCTGAACAAAACAATCAACTGAACACACCGAGCGTTCCCAAAAACCTGCAGCGTTCTCTGACTTGGTGAACGACTCGGGCTGTAAAGTGGAAAATTAGTGTCTGCGGCATGGACGGTGTCCTTTAAGCTGCCTCTTCTCAGCCTGTGGAGAGTAGTTTGTAATGTTCAAGTTTTATGAGTCGGTCTGCATCACGAAAACAGGGAGGACTTCCAGAGATAAACCAAGAGAAAGACAACAAATGATATAAATCCTGAAAAAACGTTCTAAAGTAAAACATTGTTGAAACTGATCAGGGAGTCTCAGCTGGTTCTCTCAGTGTTATCTTCTCCCTCACAGACAGCAGAGGAAATCCTGCAGTCTTTCGCCACGCTCACTCCTCCCACGAACCTCCAGAGGGCGCCGTCTCGCTTCACAGGGGCCTCGGGCTCCAGCGTACCGGACACCATGGACTGGAGAGACAAGGGCTTTGTCACAAAGGTCAAAATGCAGGTAAAACATAGATAAAATAACAAAATATAAAGTTCTGCACAGCTTTAACAAGAGAAAAACGAATCATTTGTGTCGACACAGAAACACCTTGACTCATCTTTGTCATCATTTCCTTTTTTTCCCCTTACGTGCATCCTGTTCTTTGTTCTGCCCGTCGGTTTATTCATAAAGTCATACCCGCAGCCGCGAGTTTAGCAACTTTCTTGACCACAAACACATTTAGCGTCTGTAAGAGATGCGGAACCATTTCTCAACTGTTTGTTGCAAAACAGGAAAGGAATGGAATTATTTTTTTTCTAAGAAGTTGAACGTCATTTCCTGTTTTCTTACCCTTCATTGCGCTGTAAAACACGGACACATGCATAAAATGATTCAGGCTTTTGCACTTTCAATTCAGCTGTTTCAGCACAGGTTTACTGTAACGGTGGTGTTGTGGTTAACCCTTACTTACAATAAAAAAGTTTGAATCTCAGACAAAATAAAGGTAATAACTGCACATCACTTTAAAGTTTTGTAGCAGACTGATTTCTCTAACTAAACTGCCTTCTGTTACAGAAAAGGTCAATTTGAAGGTCATGTGGTTAAACTGGAAAGATTCCTTTTCTTGTTAGATTTGTGTCTCATTTGAGTCTTCATCTACATGATGAAGGACATCAGTGTGAGAAACTGCTTATCTGACTTTGAAGTTCATGATAAAGTGGGCATTTAGTGGAACGTGGTGCGTATATTGTGAGTAATGTTGGTACTTTTACAACCCAGGGTTCCTGTGGTTCCTGCTGGGCCTTCAGTGCTGCAGGGGCCCTGGAGGGTCAGCTGGCCAAAACAACAGGAAAACTCGTCGACCTCAGTCCCCAAAACCTCGTGGATTGCTCCACCAAGTACGGCAACCGCGGCTGCGAAGGGGGCTTCATGCACCACGCCTTCCAATACGTCATCGACAACCATGGCATTGACACTGACGCCTCGTACCCGTACATAGGACAGGTGAGGAAATGAAAGCTTTTATGTCACTAAACTGTTAAAACTCCATCTGCAAGAATCAATCGCCAGTTTATTCTTATAAGTTAGTGCAGTCCCTATCCGCATTTTTTTTATGCAGGCTATTTATTTTGTTCCTTCAGCTATTGTAAACCAGATATTTTTATTTATTTGTTATTTTTTGTAAGAAGGGATCCAGTGTGAAACAGGTTCGTGTTCTGACACCAGTGTGGGTGGATGAACGGCAGGACGAAGTTAAGCCAGACCCTTCAGGCTGCAGACAGCAACACTTTTCACTTGTCTGTGCTCTGCTGTTAATGTCTCTTTGGAGCAACAATGAATTAATCGGAGCGGACAACATGTTTGTCCTCCAGGCTTCAGCTGCTTCGCACAGAGTTCTGAGGAGGAGGAGGAGGAGGAGCAGGAGGAGGAGGAGGAGGGCAGATTTTGCCCAGCTCCGGCGACGTGCTTTAGTTTTAGTTCAACCAAAAACTAACTAAAAACTTGAATTACGATGAAACAGAAACTTCAATTTAAAGTTTTGCATCTTGAAAGCTCGTTTAAAACAATTTGAAAAAAGGAAAATTAATTCAGTTCTTTTGATTTTAAACTTTGCTGCTTGTCTCTGTGAAGGAAATTATATATTTTTAATAATCTTAAAGCATTCATACTATTGAGATGATCCATTTTTTTTTCTTCCGTGCATTTTTCGGCATCTATCTTTCCACAATTTGTGGTATTTCAACAATTCCTGTTAAACATTCAGCTCATTTATGACATTTGGTATTTTAGCAACTTTTACTTTTTTGGGTATTTTGTTTTTTTCGGCCATTTTTTTCTTGTTGAACATGTTCAACGTTCTCAAAACCCTTTAAAATATGTTTAAACCTTTAATGTAATCTTCACCGTTTGTTATTGTTGTGTGTTTTTTTCTACTTGTGTGTTCTAATTTCAGCTTCCTTCAATTTCTTTTTCTTCTGTCTTTTTTATTTTATTTTATTTTTTACTTTTGGCTCCTTTCAGCTATTCTGGCAATTTTATCAGATTATTTCTGCTAATTTAAGCTCTTTATGATTATTTTAAATTATTTCTGCTAAAATCATCTGTTTTTAGCTATTTTGTAAGTATTTTCAGCTAATTTTAGTTTTCCATCTAAATTCCCCTTTTGTGGTAATTTCAGTTTCTTACTGCAAAATTTAGCAAATTAGCTTTTTCTGCAGCGTTATGCTAATTTCAGATTTTTCAATTACTTTTTAGCTATTAGCAGTCCAGTCCTTGCTCACTCATATCAGTCCACCTGCAAAGTAACCTTGGTCCGTTGATCTCCTAGTGGTTGCTGCAACAACGCCAAACTGTTATGGTAAATATTTATTTAACAAAGACAGAAATACGTGGTCCAAGAATGAAGGTACTCCATGAGATGATCAGCTGAGTTTTATTGCAACAACAGGAAACACAGAGAACCTGGCCTGTCTCTGTGCCTCTGCTTCTCTCTGTCAGTCTCTCCACACCACTGTTGAACTCTGTGTCTCGAGAGGCCTCATATACAATATATTAACAAACACCATTCTGTCATCTTAGCAAGATTTGATACAAGGTCAATGGAAAACACAAAGATAAACACAAGTGATATCTAAGAATGATTATTGTTGTTGTTAGCAGATCTTGTTCTGACTTTAATCATTCTATCTGCAGATGAACAGCATGTCATGAAAACCTAGGTCATTAAAGGATGTCATGAATTACTTGCTTAAACATAAAAGTATTAGTTCCACCACACTATTTTTCTGCTAATTTGGCTGCTTCAGCTGTTTTACAACAAATTGTAACTTGTTTGTATTCTTTTTCATGTTTTTCTGCTAATAAGAGCTTTTTCTTCTCTCCACCATCTATCTGTTAATCCCAACTTGTTCCTCCTGCAGTCGTTGTCTACTTGTAATTTTATACTTTCAGCAAAAGCCAGCTGTTCAAATTAACAGTTTTGATATTAAATATTTTCAGCTTCTTTAGCAGATTTCAGGAAAAATCTTTCAGCGTTAAGCGTTCACACTGCATTTTTGCAGGAAATGCAAGTTTTCTACTTTATATAAGCAATCTGTTTAATCTTCATGTTTACTTCCTGCCTGTGATTGTGTGACTGACAAACACTGGATGAATTTTAATGAAACTGGATGTACATCTGTCTTGGAGTCAAACTAATTCAAGATGGCCGCCACAGCCACCCTACCAAACTGACTCGATCTCATAAAGAAATCCATTAAAGAGTTAAAGTTGTCACAGATCAGCCACTAACTCCTCAGCTAAACTTCAGTTTTGTCCATCTTTAACATCAGCAACAAACCTGCCACTACAACCCCGCGTATCGAGCAGCAAACTGCTCCCGGTACGAGTTTCTGCCTGAGGGGGACGAGGCGGCTCTGAAGGAGGGGCTTGCCAATGTTGGACCCGTTTCAGTGGCGATTGATGCCACACGGCCCAGATTTGCCTTCTACAGGAGCGGTAAATTCCCCCCATTGAGATATACGTTACTACAGAGTAAAAAAAAAAGGACTAAAACTCAGATTTATACATATGAATCAATTTGTTTTGGAATTTTTTGAACTTTCGTTGTTTCAGGAGTTTACGATGACCCCAGCTGTACCCAGAATGTGAACCATGGAGTCTTAGCTGTGGGCTATGGGACTCTGGATAATAAAGACTATTGGTTGGTGAAAAACAGGTGAGACAACATTACCATCATCGACTTCGCTTCTTTATTTTCCATCATTTTGTTTGCCTGCTTGTTGAACACAAGTTTGATAGACGACACTCGAACTTTTGAGTTTTTTCCAGGCTTATTGTTCTACACCCAACCTTTTATTTTGTATGTTTAACCTCTCACAGCACAGATATCTGTTGAATCTAAATTAAAAGCTTTGTTTTGTCTCCTCTGCTCTGCATCCAGTTGGGGAACTAAGTTCGGTGATCAGGGCTACATCCGGATGGCGCGCAATAAGAACAACCAGTGTGGCATCGCTCTGTACGGGTGTTACCCCATCATGTAGCCGCAGCGGAAAACTGAACAGAAACTCATGCAACATTGCATCTTTCATCAGTTTTTCTACAATTCATCGAATACTAAAGCTTAAAACCAGCATTTTTAAAAAATAAATTTTAAAGGGATTTATTTTTCTACAGACTTTTAATTCTAGATTTTTGTTTCAAACTGTACAGTTGTTACATTTTTACGTGTTTCAAGCTTTAAGACATGCTGTCTGCTTGGATTATGATTTGAAAAGCATTTATAATCACAAAATGTTGTACTCAGTGTTTACTGAACAGTAAATGTTGAGATTCAGACTTTTGCAGAGATCTTTGATAAATGTGTCAATTTATTTCAGTTATTATTGGCTATAATTCCACAACAGTTTTGAAAAAAATGTAGCCATGAATCCAAGTTTGATTTTTTTTTCAGAAATGTATCTAATGTGATTAAATTTTAGTTTTTATTCAAAGGGAATAAAAGTGATAAAACATATCTGAATCTGATAGTTCTTTTTGTGGGTCATGAACATGTCTGTTCTGACATGATGTCTGGAGAAGAATGGTTTAAACCAGGGTTTTTTAACTGCTGGCCTGTGGGTCACATACAGTCCACGAGTGACCAAAGTTCGGCCCGCCAATTGGTTCATTCATCTCTCGAGCCCACACCCCCGGTTTTCTACTTGAATACTTTGAATTCTTTTAGTTAAACGTAGACATGTTTGGTATCTACAGAAAATTCATAATCTTAACTAGGAGCTGGTAAAAACCATTTCTATAAACACTTGAGACAATTAAAACTACAAGCAGTTGAAGATAAAACTATGAAAGTGAATATAAAATTAGTTTAAAAACTTGGCAAGTCAGAGATGTCAAAATAGGATTTGTTAAATAGGAGGCATAATTTGCTTTTTTTGTTTTGTTTTTGATGTTTTATTATCACTAATTAAATCGGGTTCTGTATGTTGTATTCATGATTAAATGCAGCAAAATAAACTATTTAAAAGGTAACAAATGTTTGTAATACTTGTTTTATTTAAATAATGACTTTAACTGGTGGATGTTTGTCCACTAAGCAGTTGGCCTGCAGTAAATGTGGCCCCCGGAGCAATTTAGTTGAACAGCCCTGGTTTAAACTGTTAATGTGAAAATGTCCTGATGCATCTCAGTAATCCAGGTAAAAAATCAAAAAGAAAAAAATTGTATAGGTCTTCTGGACAG